CACCATGAGAAATCGGCCCAAAAGGCATTCGCCATTTTACGGATGATCCAACGCACCTTCTCCCGTATTACCCGCATGGACTTCCAAATGCTCTATGGGGCCTACGTCATACCGCTCCTGGAGTACGCCAACCAAGTTGTCTACTCAGGGCGCACAAAGGACGTCACCCTCATTGAGCGTGTCCAGCGGGCCGCCACGAGAATGGTTACCGGCCTCAAATCCATGGACTACGAAACGCGTCTCGCGATGCTTGACCTCTTTCCTCTGGAGGACCGTCGCCTCCGAGGGGACCTAATTCTTACTCACGCCCTGTTTGAACAAAGCTTGGCAAACAGGCTTTTCACCGTTGACCCAGCAAACACACGGCGGGTACATAGAAAGAAAATTTTCAACCTCAGAGCACATACATTCATTAGAAAATTTTTTTTCTCATTTCGGGTAGTAGCTGCGTGGAATGACCTTCCTCCGACGGTTGTCCACGCTCCTTCTAGAACCCAGTTTAAAGCACTATTAGACATTTATTTATGCGAATCCTGGCGCTGGCAAGCATACTGCACCGCGCTGAGAACATAAAGAGCAGTGCTACGCCCTTTTTTCACCTGTGCCTTTCAGGTGTACGACAGCCACTGACCGACAAGAACAAAACCGACCCGAGAAACTTGGGCGAAAGCCTCGATCCTGTGTATCAATCCGTGAAATTCCGTGAATCCGTGAATCCCTGTAAATTAAACTGCAGGCAGCTGGATTGATTGAGGAAACTTTCGCGTAAAATTCAGTTGAAACGTTACTCTGGCATCAGCAATTTTGATGGCCTACATTCTGAGGGCTCGATCCTGTGTATCAATCCGTGAAATTCCGTGAATCCGTGAATCCCTGTAAATTAAATATACTGCAGCTGGATTGATTGAGGAAACTTTCGCGTAAAATTCAGTTGAAACGTTACTCTGGCATCAGCAATTTTGATGGCCTACAGATATTCTGAGGGTGCGCCTGAAACATCTGCGCCACGGGCACGGGATATTTTCTTTTTGACAGTTTGTTTTTCGCATTCGCTGGGTTTGACTTTTGATTTAAGCGGCACTCTCAAACACCGCCACCTATTTCTGCTTCCTTGTCCGGCATGTCACTCTTCGAAGATATTCAACCTGCCCCTCCAATAGAAGTGTTTGCCGTTTCAGAAGCATGTCAGAGGGATCCAGAACCAGATAAAGTGAATTTAACTGTTGGAGGTTAGGGCTTCTCTTGGCTTATTCCGTTCTCTCAGCTTATCGAACTAACGAAGGTTTGCCTTGGGTACTGCCCTGTGTCAGATCAGTTGAGTTGTCAATGGCTAAAGATGAAAAATTCAATAAAGAGTATCTTCCTGTGACAGGACTGGGTACAATGTGCGTCAATGCTTTGAAGATTTTGCTCGGTGAGAATAACCCGCTGATTGCAGAGAAGAAGGTACTCGTCATACTTCTAAGTTTTTTTGCTAATTTTTCAGGCTGATGGTTGCCAAAGCCTCGGGGGAACTGGTGCGTTATATTTGGGCATGCAGTTCCTATCTAGAGTAGCGAAATACACCACACTTTATGTGTCACGACCAACATGGGGTAAGTTTGGCTCTCAGTCTACATGCTATTGGCAGGCAACCACAAAATGTTGGCTTCGCTTGCTGGACTACATGTTCAGGATTATCGTTACTGGGACAGTGCAAAACTGGCGGTGGATTTCGATGGTATGCTCGAGGATATTAAAAATGCGCCGTCGAATTCAATTATTCTACTTCATGCTTGCGCGCACAATCCAACCGGCATGGACCTCTCTCGCGAACAATGGATGCAACTTGCTATCATAATGAAGGTAAATTCCGGCGCATAATGGGTCAGTGTTTCTTCTACGTCAAGATCCCTATGACGTCGCCAATTATTAAATTAGGCACACCTAAGCTGATGTCTGCAAAGGAAGGAAGGGTTTTCGAGAAGTCTGACTGCAATAACTTAAGCCAACTTGGTCAAAATTCATCGGTTGGTCGTGTTTTTTGGATATGACTTGACTCGAATCTCAAAGCCGGTAAAATTAACGCAAATAGTCTCACTCTAAAGGCAGTAAGACCTATCTGAATCAAAACCTTAAATTGCCTGCGTGACCTATTAAGGGCTTATCGTTAGTCCATTCTACGTCTCCCGGGTACATTCTGATTGATTGCTATGGTAAAAGTGATCTAACCTCATGGACTCATAAGGCGCTATCATAGACGTACTGGAGTTATGTTTAAAATTATTGACACTGGTGGGAGTGGATTCCTATAGTTAAAATGAACTCATATGCCGCCCAGATCACGCCTAGTCGGGAGGAGCTTTATGTGTTCAGGTGTGCACTCGGTAACAAGTCTGCGTCTAGGCTCACCGATGGTATTCCCTTGGTTGGTGACGTGACGTTGGCAATCTAATTGCCAAACTCGGTGAGCAGATTAACATCCACCTGGGTAACTACTAGGAGACGCGCCAGAGTTACTGATTTCTCGTTACATTTGCACAGTAAGGGTGTCCAAATGATGACCAAGGGGCCCTGTGGATTGTACCAGAACAGACAAACTAGATCTTTGCGAACGCTCGACGCCTGACAAGTGAGTTGGATGGACTCGGATACGTTAAGAATGTATGAAAACCAGACATCGTTAGACACATAGTCTTACCACATCATTGACGCGCAGCTTGCATTCCTGGGGTACGATGTGCTTGAGTGCAACGAACTAGACACCAAAGGAGAAAGAAATAGGCATTTGGGAACAGGTACCCTGATTGCGAAAACTTTTAGTGGGCTAGGCGGACTTCCTACATACGGTACTCAGACAGAGGGTGGGGCTCATGTTTTTGTCCGCGCCATTCTGCCGTAGTCCAACCGTTTGGGTTAACTTAATGTGTGGAATCTCCTGGAAGTAATGATATTCCTGCTTCGCGCTCTAAGCTCGATGCATCCAACCTCAACATATACACCAGGAGATCGGTAGTGCCACTCTAATATGGGTGCTTTCTTTAACACTTGTGGGATAGAATAGGAATATGCTGCACGCAGAAAATAAGCTAACAGAAATTCACTAATACTCCAGTTTAACTCCTTGCTGGGATAAAAGCCACCCAGCGATTATATGACTGTGCCATAAGTATGAGAGGCAGTGAACTGCAGTTAAAGTCTAAGGACACTGTGTCTTCAATTTTGATGCGTTGTGAGAGAAATCCATAAAGCCACCATGAGCGAAGCAGCTTCTGAAGTGAAATCTGACACTGGCTGAGGCTTGGGCAGCAGCGTCGTACAACTTCATGTTTTGCGGTTGCAAGTATGCGTAATCTGGTGAATAAACTTGTGTTCTACATTCTGAAAATCCAGTTGCATGCGCGTGAGATTTTGCACCTTTTAAGGTGCAAAACATACTCCAATTTGCTTTTTGGAGACAAACTTCAAATAGAAAAGTGGTATTTTCCACATAATACTAGTCCATTAGTCTTCTCCCAGGCCTCGTCTCGAGACCTGGATTTGTGGTCCCTCAGAGAATTTACTATAAAATAGTATCGTTGACGTAATTTAGCAAAAAAGAGAGAGGGGACAACCCGATGAACTTCTAGGTGTACAGAAAGTTTGGACGATTCACTATACATTCTAATTCAACCGAAAATCGGAGAATAGGGAATTGAAGAATGTCAGCAGCCTTCAATAGCATTCCACTCCGACGAAGAGTCTTCAGAACAGTCAGTCAATCTACAAAGGCCTATTAATAGTGGGGTAAACCTGCGGTGTTGGTCGGCGATATGCCCGGTGCCGCTTAAGCACTTGGTGTAACGTAAAGTGATAATAAGCTAGGTGGATGGAGTTGGTAGAAAACAATAGAGAAAGCTGAAAGGCGTCAGCAGTCGTATGTTTCGCTTGCGCGCCCTGCTGTATACAGCAAATCAGACCATCCAACTGATGTCACCAAGTGACGACCAACATGGCATTAAAAAGGTTTCCTTTGTGGAGGTCACGGTCGTACTTGGACTGAGATACTGCCACGGACTTTAAATATTACTAGGGTAGTTCAAATTTCAAGGTGCACGTTTTTACACTTGCTTCAACCCCCAACCTGGACGGCCAGGAGAGTGTGGTTGTCAGACCTGTATTTATTGACCAACGTGATAAGAGAGGCCGTGAACGTGAGTGGGCATCTTCTAGTAAGGCTCCATGAGTTACGAAGGTACGCCACCCGTTGCAACACGATGAGGTTTGATCTCCTCGCCACGGTCAAAACCATTTCTGGGTAGGCAGCGTACTCCAGCTACAAAACACAGCATGGCGCGTGTACAAAAGCAGCAGCTGCTGGAGGTAATATAAGTTATGCACAGATGGTTTTGAAACCTTTGTGTAGGGTGCAAAGAGAAATGAGGGACTTGTGCAGCTTGAATGGCTGGCTCGGGAAGAATTATTGGCAGAACACACCACATCGAAATAAGGCTCGCATACTCATTGAGAACCACTGAGGGGCTTCTTCGGCAGACAGATCCCAGTTGTAAATGTCATCAGATGTAGTACAAGGTCACATTAATATAATCCTGTGGATGCAAGACATCCGTTCTCTGTTCCAAAATTATGCAAGTACAAGGTCTTGCCATCTATCCCACTTTATATACGGCCGATGCATACATTTTCCAACAGGCTGGCCAAGGTAGGCTTATTATGTAAGGCCCGGGTGAATGCAGTTTTGAAACCCTTAACTCATTGGATCTGCGTACTTTTACTGATGGATGTAATTTCAGTGATGAAAAATAAAATGTAAAATGCGGTTAAAACTTCCTGATCTAAATGGAAGCGAGTTCCACTTTTACGCCGTTCCGTCTGGGCGTACCGATCCATTGCTACTTAATTAAGGGGCAAGAAAAAGTGAAAAGGGTGTTCACAGGGACGTCATATGTGGACCTCAGTACACTTTAATTGCATCTATTGTGCTGTAATATTTGACCTAGTCAGATCGTCCATTTTTTGGATCTAATGCGGAAAATTTTTAACATCTCTACATCCAGGCCAATGTAAGTGAGAAAGTCATGCCAGAGCGTCAGCAGTGGAGTTCTTCGGGGATTGTTGTTGGAGCTTATGATTTTCAGAATGTGGTTCTCTTGATGGTTTCCTATGCAGAAACCACTTTTCTACCAAGACCGGCTTCTATCTTTTTGGGGATTTCCTATACAAAACACTTGTAGAGACCGTTCTGTCTCAAAGTATGCACTTCACTAGCAGAGCAAAGTATAGTGTCAGTAGCATGTTTTGGCAGATTTTGTTCACTTTTCTAATGACCGTTCCTTGCTAACATCCATTCTCTCATGTCTCATCTCCGTTGCACCCATTAGTTGTATGTGTGGAGAGTGAATGGTTGCACTGCTTGTATCCAGTATCCATCAACTGTACATCCCTGTGCTCGGGTTCGATGGTGAATCGTAGGGACACTTCTTCCAATTTGGTTGCACATTATTATCGGAAGACGGCTTGTGTCGGCTTGCTGTGCGTATGGCGCCCTGCCTTCAGAATAGAACCGGTTTTCGGAAAATATCGTTCAACCGTAACATCATTTCGGCGCCTAGCCGCCACTCTACCCGAAGGAAGCACAAGGGATGGGATACTGACAGGTCGCCCAAGCCTAGATAGGAGAAGTTGAGATGCAGAGGTAGGATTCAAACCACGAACCTTTTGTTCAGTAAATTCAATCATCAATCAATGACAGCAACATCAGTGTTGGCACTGATGCTTCACTGCCCCGAAGGAAGCACAATGGATGGGATACTGACAGGTCGCCCAAGCCTAGATAGGAGAAGTTGAGATGCAGAGGTAGGATTCAAACCACGAACCTTTTGTTCAGTAAATTCAATCATCAATCAATGACAGCAACATCAGTGTTGGCACTGATGCTTCACTGCCGTACAACCATAAAGTTCGTTTAGTTATATATATATATATATATA